CTTCAGCTTCAAATGAAAAAACTCACTACAAAATATTAAAATATTTGGGTTTTATATCAATCCAAGGAAAAACTTATTATTAATTGGTAGTATTGTAATTCAGCTTTCAACAGAAGTAAATTACACTTCTGTTCATGAATGCTGGGCTAAAATCCTGGCTGAAAAAATGCACTCCATCACCTTCTTCAAGTCACAAATTGGATTTAATTCCATTTAGTCTGTTTGGCCAGTTGAAATATCAGGAGTTCATGTTCATTTAAAAGATCAGACAATGCTTTTCATTAATGTCAATGTTTTTTCCAGATGTTGTGCACTAGAATATCCTGCCTTGATCCACTGAGTGTGTTGTGTTATGTACTAACTGTCCTTTGCCCTCCCCTTCCCCACTGAGATACCAATTAGAGGATACTCTTTAAGAATTTAATAGGTATTAACTATTGTTGCATATTATCTCTGTTGTTGATGCTTTTTAAAAAGTAGATTTAAAATCCAGAAAATGAAGTTACTGAACCAAGCAGAAATTTACTGTAAAACTGTTCATCTAAAAGTTGTCGTAAAATTCAATGCCAAATTTAATTCCAAAACACGTGTGGAGAGGCTGGAAATAAGGAGTGCTCTTTTCGTTGCCTTCTAATTGTTCCAAGCAGCTTTTCTGGGTGCAACCAGAGCAGCAAAAGTGCTGAGATTTCTCAATTCAAGCCTTACAAGGACAGAAATTTATCTCAAAAGATAAATTTGTCTCAAAAGAACCACCTGAAAAAGGTTGGGTGCCTATACCACCAGTACTGCTGGGCCCATTTGTAAAATCCTCAGTGGAAAATTAGCAGAGCACATTTTCATAATTCAATCTTTCATTTAGATAATGCAAAGTCTTCCTAATTGTTTCTGTGGCGCTTGATTTGAGCTGGAGTGGGGCTGTAGGAGTGTTATCCCTCAGGGACCAGGGATCATCGTGCAAATGAGACGTGGATCTTGTCAGGCTGCCTGGCATGGATGAAATTTTAACTAGGTGAAGCCTGGTACAAGAGATTTGGTTAGACCTGCTGAAAAATAATAGTAAAAGTTCTGGAAGCTCATTTTTCCTGCTTTGATAGCAATGGTAATGACTAAAGATTAATTTTAGCATTGACAAAAAAAAAAAAAAAAAAAGGTAATTGCGGTATTTAAAACCCTGAGGCAAATCAGTGGAAATGCTTTGGAAAGGATAATTATACCTGCACAAGGAAGATCTGTTTAATAGCATTAACTGGCCCAATTAGGGAGAAGTGGAGGAAGGGCCAATCTGTTACTTTAACTGTTCACTGAAAAAGTGGTTTTGATATTTGAGCAGTAAATATTGGTTTGGCTTTTTCCAGGATGATTCCCCAAGGTTTAAACATTTTAAGAAGTATTGAAGGGGTCTTGTCTCCAGCTGTCAATAACATCCCAGAGGTGCAGGTGTTTCAAGAGGGACCTCGGTGTATTTACATGGCAGTCGTTAAGATTCTCATTAGTAACCTCATCTGGCATAATCCCAGTCTAAACATCCCTAAAAGATTATTCTCAAGTGGGGGAAGATGGGACAAAAAGAGGATTCTTTGCTGTTCCACACCAGCAGCAGCAGGTTTGGCTGTTTTGCCACTGCTAAGAGCTAGAGGCTGCAGAGTGGTGAGTGCAGAGGAGGATCTGCTGCCAGGAGGTTTTCCCGAGGGCTTCCCTGCTCTGACAAACAGTGATGTGTGTGTTTTCAATGCAGGTGTGGAACACACAGGTGTGTGCAACACCTACAAACCAACACGGGCTTTTCGTGTCAGAGAATTCCAGGGCACATACTTGGAGATATAGGCAGACATGGATTTTACCAGGGGGAGTAGAGAGAACAGAGTTTAAGAAGGTTTTAATCCTTATCTTTCATTTCCTTGCTGTAGTGCTGCCATTGCTTCTGGCACTGTCCTCAGATCATGAGTGGTACAAAAGTTTTCGTTGAAAGCGAAGGCCAAAGCTCACTTTGTGCAGTTGCCCAGGGGTAGTGGCACTGTGTGCAAAGGGCAGCACTGGCCTCTTCAGAGTTGGAGTGCAGGGAGGGGATTTTTTTTTCTCTGCATGTGTTTAATTTGAGCTTTCCAAGACAGCCAGTTGGAACTGCAGAACATAATTTAGGCAACAGCCAGCTCTGGCATTGTTAAAGCAAGCACACCGCCCTTTATAACCCAAGTAGGCAGCAGCACAAAGGCACTCTCTGCTATCACCCACAGAACCCACTGCAGAGAGCACAGGGAATAATTACTTAAATAAAATGAGCAAACATTCCATTAAAACAGGGTGATGTAATCAGGAAAAGGATAGCTAGAAATTTTAGAGTTAGCAACCTCAAAATCTGAATAGTAAAAAGTATTTTCATTTTGCAAAGTTTAAAGCTGGAAAAGGGCTCATTGTCTCTTTTTCAGTGAGAATATCAGGAGGGGTAAGAAAGTCAAACAGGCAGAATGTGATGGGCTGTTACAATAAAATATGAGATCTGCCACATGCAAAAAAGTTTTGGTGTGAGAGGTGGCAGGAGAGAAATGAGTACTCAGCAGGGGCCATGGGTGTTTGGTTTATTCAAGTCCACATCCTACAGTAGCTTTACACAGTTTTATTCAAGTAGAATGATCTAGTCCAAGGAGAGGTTCTCTGAGCCCTGTGCTTCAATTAATCTCATTTTATTGCTTAACTGCAAATACTTTATTCCTCCCATTAACCAACCCTAGTGCACTTCCAGTCCCTGACCAGTGTGCAGTCCACTGTGCTGAAGGACTAGTAAAGAAATAACCAACCACAGCTAATGGCTTTCATGGGGCAGTTCTTTAATGAATAATAAAAATTTGAATGATATCACAACAGCCTCTCTTCTCAATCTCAGCTACTAAAAAGAAAAGCAGGAGCCAAGGAAAGATGCTGACACTTACCTGTTAGGATTTTTTTCAACAATTAGTGACTTTTGCCTCTCCTACTGAATGTTATGTCTAAATGTTTATATTATAATATAAAATCTCATAATTCACCTTGAAAATAATATTTTTTCCTGTGATGGAAAAGAGAAAAATGCAGGGATTAAAAAAGACTGGTGAAAGCCACTATAGATGTCCAGAAAAGACTGTACATCTCATGATCCCTGATCGAAGGACAGCACCAGCCTCTCAAACACATGGCTTTGATCTGCTCTGCATAAGTTAAGAAATTGGTTAAGCAATGTACTTGGAAAATTATTATTCTCATCCTACATTTCTTCAGCTGTGAACTGCTCAGCTCTAGATTTTTAATTTAGTCTGTTTTATAAATGGCTACTTGCAAAATTGTGTGGAGTTGGGCTAAATTCTGAGCTTTCCTATGACATAGAAAGATCCAGCCTAGATCTCAAATTCTCACTTCATCTTCTCTCAGACAAGTGTGTATTCCTGACTGACAAACAACCAGCTTTGACGTGTTGCTGTAAGGCACGCAATGAATTATAGACCCTGCTCCAAAGCTGTGAATGTATTAATGCTGCTGCTGCAATTGCATAAAAATCTTATTTTAGGAAAACGTGATGCATCTGCCACAAAGTATGTACCCAGAATTTTCCAGCAGGTAAGTGAACAAGTGTGAGGTCAAATGGAAATGGTGTATATTGAACCAAGTGTTATTAACCAACAGTGTCTATAAACAAAGGCAGAATCAGAATCAAAGCCTCTTCCCTTTTTTTCCCTGGTATCCTTTCCATTCAGTAGAACTAGAGCTGCATTTTGGTGGTTTGCCATGGAAGCAGCACACTCCTGACTGTTGCTAGAATTACAAATGAGCAACACTGAAACTAATTCAGAGAAGAAAAGAGCTGCTGGCCCTGTGGCAGTGCCCAGGAGGAATGGGTGCTGCTGCAGGAAGCAGAGGAGAGTGATGGACTTAGACATCCACATGCAGCACAGAGAGTGGAACTGACAATATCCCAACATTCAACAACCAGCATTATTTTCTTTAAAATGTCCTTCACAGTGCGTATGACTCTCCAAACCAAGATTGCAACAGATGAGTAGGTAGCAAAGCAGTCCAGTTGGCCAAACTCCAAGTTCAGTAATTACACTCTGCTCTTAAATTACCCCCACAGCTCAGTTGGAATAAAGCTCTTTTTCTGCCTGTCCCGGAGCATTGTGCAGTGTTTCTGTGCAGCTGTACAACACTGAAAAATATCTTCTCCCATTAAAATTGCCCAGAGAATTTAGGTAGACAGAAAGCTATTACCAGAGTTGGAATGTGGGCAGAACACCAAGGTTAACTTACACTTGCATGGGGATCAAGGGATCTTTGCTGACGAGGAGTGTCAGACCCTTATTAAAGAGCACAAGTGGGAATAGCTTGCTGTGCTGCCTGAATACAAACCCAGGAACTTGGGATCTCTGCACCTGGAAGTGACCCAACACCTGGGATGTTTCCTAACAAATCACTCTATAAAAGTCTCTGATCCTACAGAGTATCTTATCATTATCTTATATGGTTATTTAGTAATATTCATTAAATTATTTGCAGATAAAAAAAGTTCCAGAAACTTTTGTTTTTCAAAGTCCCCATGAACTAAAAACAAACTGCATTTTAAAAAAGTCTACCATGAGAAAAGCAGAAATATAGCCCAAATATGCTGAAGCAAGTGTTTTAATTTCAGTAAATAGATACACCAAGAACCCCACAGAGTATTTAAGTATTTAAGCAATTTGAGCCGGGCCTGCAGCAGGAGTGAAAGCCTTCTGTGTTATGTTAAATTGATAGCTGTAACAGTTTTCTTACCCTCCAAAGCAGGAGTCATTTAAAATATTTAGGTAACTGACTCCCAAATTCATTTATACGCCAAAAATTTATTCTTACTAAGCAAGAATAATTTAGAACATTCACTATACAAATTCCTGTAGGAAAGAAAAAATTCCAAATCCATCACATACACCGAGTCTGTTCTTTGTATTTTGTGCCTTTTTTTTTCCTTGTCTTCCTGTAGTTGCCATTCTTCTTTCAGCTCAGGTCAGTTCTAAGCTTGGGGCTTTAATTTCCCTCATTTCTTTACACTCAAATTTTTTATATGTCCTTGTGCGCAGCCACCTGAGGATGAGCAGCACGGCGATGCCAATGCCAGCAGTGAGGACCACCACGGTGACCACAGCACTAATGCCAGCTGCCAGCTGCCTCATGCAGAACTCGGGGGGCTTTTCATCCACATAGTAAATCCGGAGCTTTTCAATAGCCAGAGCATCTCCATTGACTGAGACAGCGAATTTACTGTCGGAAGGAAACACGGAGTCATTGTTCACGTCTTTTTCAAAGTAATAGGCCACGTCAGCTATATCTACATCCCACCTGGGTTTCTTGTTCTGGTCCAGGCGGATTTGGATAAGGGGGGGGTCGTACTTGATGGCTGCGATGTACTTGGGGTGCAGCTTGTACCTGCTCTCAAACAGCTGGGTCAGGGCCTTCGCCACGTCGGCAGCAGCGAAGGCACTGGAGCTCCTCTTGTGTGTCAGCTCGATGTAGATCCACCGTGTCCGGACCAGCTCGCTGCAGCTCAGGCTCCTGCCTCCCTTCTCCGTCCTCCGCACGCCCGCGGAGTTCACGCACCAGCAGGTGCTGGACTGGTTGCACTGCCTGGCTTTAAAGACACCGCTGTCCTCGCAGTCGGGGTTGTAAATACCATCGCTGTCTGACACCCCCTGGGGAGGTCTCCAGAGGCGCTTCTCCTTCAGGGGGATCATTTCTGCCTTCATCAGGAAGCATTTAGAAGTCAGGGTTGAGCAGTCTACGGGGTGATCTGAACCTGCCAGCCTGCAGGTGCAGTTCCCTGGGCCGTCCTGGGCACACACTGCCCACTTGTTGGTCGCACAAGTACAGCTGTCATGGGCTGGTGAAGCGACTGCCAGAATCAAACCCAGCACAGCCCCAAAGAGAGGCTCCATAGTGCAGGAGAAAAGCACAGATAAAGTCCTGAGCAGCAGCAGGCAGCATCCAAAGCTTTAATCCACTGGTGGAGGCTGCTCATTCCTACACACTGGCGTGCTGCTCCCTTTATTGATTCAAATCAGACCCACCAAACAGGTTCTTCTTCCAAAACAACTGGCATCTCCTTCCCAAATCCCAGTCAACAGCTTCCCAGCTCCCTGTTACTTCTCAGGGAGTGGCACCTGCCTCCAGCTGCCTCCCTCGCTCCTGCTTGATGAGGAAACAACAGGGAAGAAAGAGACAGCAGCCAAGCTCCTGCCATGGGCTTCCGTTATGGATTAGAGACAAGCAGCCGGCCCTTTTCCTTCTTCAGATTTTGTATGGATTGTATGCAAATGGCTGTTTAAGGAGTTTCTTCCACTTCTGCAGGAAATCCTATTCCTCCACTTCCATCATGGTTGTTCCTGTCTTTGACTGCACAGCATCTCTATCATTCCACTATCTAGATTCTTATCAGTTATAGACTTTTTACTTTCATAGCTTTATTAAATAATGCCTTTGGGAGTTTGATGGTTGCTGCCTGGAGCAACTGCTTTTTCAAGAGGTGCCACAGCTGACCAGCTGCTCTCCTGCAGAGGTCACCCTCACTTTCCAGCATGGAAAGCTTCTCTCCCACCTTCTCTTTGGCATATGCTCATCCCAAGGCAGCACTAGGAATACTGTTTTTCATGCTTATTTTACCCTTACAGAGTTGTTTGTATTTCTTAAGAAATTTTTCAGTCTGAGCTTTAATAATGCCTTTCACAGAACACTCCAGTGGCTCCCAACTCTCCCAGTGATCTGCAAACCTGTCTTACCATTTCCATGTGCTTTGGCAGCAGCTGACAAAGATCTTCCAGTTTGCATTAAGTCATTTCCATTCATCTGATTTGTCAAACCCTGTCAGACTCTTTATAAATCATTATTTTGAGACCAGTAATGACCACAGAGCAGTGTGTGCACTGCACTGGCAGCCACGTGCCTTGCAGTCAGCTCCAACCTGTGCTGCTCACCTGAGCACTGCCCCACCTCCAGTGCCTGCCAGCTCCTGCACTCGTGGCTCCGTGCACACTGGGAAGGACCCTGCCTGCCAGGGAATAGGTGTAAAATCAGAGCTCCACATGGAAATGGGATGTGAACACCCTCTGCCAAAGGAGGACACAATCTGGATATTCCTTCAGGTAATAATAACTCCAGTTAGCTTTCTTGGAAAATAATTGAGATCTACAGCTAAAACTATTATTAAGACTGCCAGGTAAGTCAATTTGTCATGTTGATGATTCTATAATAGTTTAGCAACTCTTTTCCCATTTCTATGTCATTCACTTACCCACGCTACAATAATGTCCTTTTTTCTTTTAATTTTCACATCCCTCCTTCAAAGTCAAAATCCATTTAACTATCACCTACCTCCTCATATCTTGTCTATATTTTATTTCACATTATTTAAATGCTGAATGTGAAATATAGTTCAAAATAAAAGTGCACTTCTTCATTGACTTTTACTGGTGGATTTTCCCCTCTGTAAATAAGGAAGGAAGGGACTTACTTTAAAGACAAGTTTTTCCAACTATATATACATATATATACATATATATCCAACTACTTATATATATATTTAAAAATTTAATGCCTCTATGACACCAAAAAAAGTATTATTTATTTTAATCCATGCTAAGCTGCAACAGTACTACAAGAGTTAATTATTTAGAACAGCAGGCTGTAAAAGGAATAATCCTGTAGGAAATGTGGAGTGCATTATTTCTTTAGTGATCTCTGCTTCCATGGAAACAATTTCTCAGCACAATTCTAAACCTTGTAAAAGTAGGGCAGTAGGTCTATGTAAAGCAGCAATTAAACAACCCGAATACTTTTATCTAGGCCATTAAATACTTTGTCCAGCATCACATGTGATTACAGTGTTCAGTGGGATGTTAAACCACCTGCTGCTTCCAGTGGGGATGGATGAAGTCCTCATCCCTCACTTCCTCGGGGGTGCACAGCACCTCTCCCTCCCCGTGCAGACACTTGGGGTGCTCAGCTGTGCCACACTCTCCTTTTGGGGTGCACTGCTCTGCCACACCCTCCTTTTGGGGTGCACTGTCCTCCTCCACAGCCTCTCTGCCCTCATGGCCGAGTGAATTCTCAGCAGCACAGCAGAAGGAATCGGTAACAGAGCTGGAACCAGCACACCTGGATCGGATCGGGCGAGGGAATGTAGCTGATGGAAAGGGATCACCTCCAGGATGTGCCCCTCACACTGCCGATTCAGAACTGTGATGTGTGTGCCAAACACTGGGATCCCATCCCAGCATCCCTGCTCCAGCGCCACTGGATCATCTTCTGAGGGAGACTAAAGCACAGCGGCTGTAAAACAACGAGGGAAACACCTCCCTAGCGAGGCACTCCTGCCTGGATGCGCTCGCTGGCCGCAAGTTTACTGCACACACCCGTAGGAAGAGTTTTGCTCCGATTTCCAACCCTTCCCGCAGCGCTGTGACAAAGCTCCCTCTGCTGGAACCCAGCTCTACTCTGTCACTCGGTCAGTGCCACCGACAGGGAACAAAGACATTCCAGACCCCGGCTCGGAGGCAAGCTGTTACAAACACAGACACATCTTCCTGGGTACTGCAGGTACAGCCTTTATTAGTAGACTTGTCTATCATCAGGCAGAAATAGCAGAGAAGCAAGCAAAGAAAAAAAGTACTGAGTGAATATCAGTGGCAACAGCGTTAACTTTTTACTTGGTCATGGATTTTGTTTTTTCAACTGGTTTTGGCAAGTTGGTTAGTTTAAAAAAAATAATAAAATTAGGGATGTTCCCTCCCCTTGCACACAAGATCTGCATCCCTGTGAGGCAGCACTGCTGGTAACTGGGAGAGCAAAACATGATTCAGCCAACAAATGCCCATAGGGATATCTGCCAGAAGTAACGCCTTGGGAGGGGTTGTTTGGGTTTATTTTGTGAGGGTTTTGTTAATTTCTTTTTTTCTTTCCTAACCTGTTGAATTCCAGTTTCAGCTGTATCATTCTACCCCCTACTCAACAATTTCCCATGTCTGAGCAACATGGGAAGGTGTAACACCGGTAAGGTGTAACACTGGTCCTGCAGAAAGGAACAGCAAATTAGCACAGGTCCACTGAAACAAAGCCTGGATGGGAAATAAAAGCTTTTTAATAAAAAAAAATTCATGCCTAAAATGTGTTTGGTAGAACTGGTATATTAGTTAAACAGGTTGTATTTCCTGGGAAGCATGCAACTTCCAAACTCGCATCATTAACCACTCAGTGAAACTAAATGATGAAAAGTAGGTTACTTTATTTTCTTACCCTGCCTCTTGTCAACAAAATCATTACTCAGCATTACAACTGTGCTCTTTCCAATTCTTAAAGAATTCTGTGTGCTAGACTGGATCTTGATGGTACAAGCATTGTATTTTCTCCACACCACCCTGAAATAAACACTTGGAATTCTGGAGCTTTTATGTGCATGTCAAAGGCTCAATCCTGCCCCATATCCTCAGAAAAATCACTTGAAAAGTCTGGGTTACTCAAAAATTTCCTTACATAACACCACTGCTGAATACAACAATACAACTGTGTGACTTTACCTCAGTGATCACTAAAGAGGGAATCAGCCAGGACATTATTAGCACTACCTGGGCAATCCTGACTCATCCCTAAAGGGCTGGGAATAGGGTGTGGAACACAAACAGCATCTACTGCATGGTGCTGTGACAAGAGAGATTCAAAATTCTCCTCCCAGCAGCTCTAACTGGAACTGTCAGGACATTGACACCGGGGGATTTTCCAGAAAACTGCAAAACTGCAACACAGCTCCCCACGACTGAGAAGGAGGAGTGCTCTCCCACCTGGAGTGCAGCCCAGCCAGGAATCCAGGAATCCTTGCAATAGTGGTGGTCAGGAAGCTCCAAAGGTGAGAGTTAGAGCAAATGCAGAGTGAGCCAACAGGCCAGAGAGAGATGGATACACCAAGTGGTAAATTACACACAGTAGTGGGACCTACAGCTGTGCACCAGCACATCTGAACACAGAGAGAGCACACAACACCCACCAGTACTTTTGAGTCCACAGCTCTTAAATGTGGGGAAATCACTGAGTTTCAAGGGCTCACATTTTCACCTGCTCAGGTTTTGATCCCCCCCCTTAGAGACAGAGAGACTCATGAGGCCTGATAAAAATATAACATTAACTTCCTGTGAAGGAATTCCCTCCTTGGGATGCAACTCTATGATTTTAAAGCCTTCCAAACTCTTTACACAAACAAAAAGTTGAAAGATATAAAATCTCAAAATTCCATTTATGTTATGTAGAACTGTATATATATACATATATATATATACACACACATATTTTCTTAAAATAAAAATTGAATCAATTGTCTCCCCTCTAGATATAAACTCCAAGTCTTGCTTGAAACTTTCAAATATATTTTAGACCTCTCTGAGAAACTCTGCCCAAGATAAACATGTGTAAATAGTAATACCTGTAGATAAGTCAAGTTTCCTTGGTATTTAGAAAGCAACATTTAAAGCACATTTTTTTTCTAAAAAGATTCACAGTGATACAGCTCATGAAACATTTCCAAGTTGCAATCAGGAAACTTCTCAATCAAGATCAATCTGTGACTGATTTATCTAAATATATACCTGTATGAAATCATAACTGAGGAGCTGATATAAACAAGTAGTGTTTTTCTATTGAACTGTACATTATAGAGAAGACTCTGAATACAAAAGTGGGGATTTTTTTTCTTCAAAAACACAAATCCTTTTCTGCTCGTTGCACTCAGTTTGCCATCAATCAGGAGCTCTGGTTTCCACAGGAAACAGTAGCAATTAGAAGTGGACAAACCACAATGATCTAGAGAACAACATAAAACCTCCCTGCAGAATGGAAGGCCAGAAAGAGATAACCTGTGGTAAGACAGGAGTTATCATTTCCACTGGAAACAAGC